TTTAAGATAGCTGTTGCCCAATAAAACTGCTGCTTCAAACAAACTCCCTTCAGAAAGCAGCTTGTGAGGATCCAGTTGCAAAGCTCAAAATGATCATACGGAAAAATATAACCCTGAAAAATGGGTCTGGAAGGCAGCAAAGAGCCTTCCTTTACAACACAGACACTAATAAAAGAAACCTAAAATTGCCTATTGTCATAGCTTTAATATTAACACTAGCTGCTTTGGCAGGCTTTAAAGACTGGACTGCGCTATAAAACCTAAAAATGTCCTGGACGTGGAGTTGTTTACACAAAATATGAGGAGCTATAGAGTTACAGGGCTGGGGGTTGGAAGGGGTGGCTGTAAAACCATCCTCCGAGCGCTGACGTCAGGTGGAAGCCAGCTGCCGGGGCGATGCTCAGCCCAACTGCCTTCCAGCTCCCAAAAGTTGAGGAGTTTATCCAAAGAGCGTGGCGAATGCTGCCCCGGCTGAAAGGCGGTGTCTCGCTCAGCTTTCTGCTCTCTTTTAAAGATGGAGATTCGCAGAGCCGGGTCCCAGCCAGCTATGCCTTCCACTGCTTTCGCTGCTGCTTAGAAATGGACTGAAAAACTTCTGGAGGATTTCTTATTCCATGAAAAGGTACGGTTGCGGTTTATTTTAAACCAGTGGTTTTGAACAGCTAAGATTAAAAAAGAAAGCAAATTACCAATGTGGCAAACAGCAACTTAAAACATCTCTCTAATGTTATTTATATAGAATGCAGTGTTCGTTTATGTTATAGATGGTCTTTATTCTTAGAGAAAGACTGCTCATTAGTTCAGTCACTTTCTTCAGAGCAGGCACAGATATATCAACAGAACAGGGATGACAGGTAGCCTTGTGAGCACTCCAGACTCCTTCCATCCTCTCTCTCTCTCTTTCTCTCTCTTCCTCCTATTTTTTCTTTCTTTCTTTCTTGCTCTTTCTTTCTTTCTTTCCTTCTTTCTTTCTTTCTCTCTCTCTCTCTTCCTCCTATTTTCTTTCTTTCTTTCTCTCTCTCTTTCTTTCTTTCTCTCTTTTTCTCTTTTTCTCTTTCTCTCTTTCTCTCTCTCTTTCTCTCTTTCTTTCTCTCTCTCTCTTCCTTCCTTCCTTCCTTCCTTCCTTCCTTCCTTCCTTCCTCCCTCCCTTCCTTCCTTCCTCCCTTCCTCCCTCCCTTCCTTCCAATTCTCTCTCCCTCTTTTTCCTTCCCCTTCTCTCTCCCTTTCACTCTCACTCAGTTGTAGCTTCTTTTTATGTATAAAGTTCATGGTATTGTGACACATGGCACACTTTTGTAGCTGAACAAATACATAAATTTACAATTTCCTTAGTCATCCGAAATACAGCACTTTGTTGGAAATATAATTTAATTATTTTTTCCTGTAAAATCAAGGGAATATCTGCGTATTTGAATGATTGTGCACATACAATTTAATTAATCTTTGTTGAAGAATAACATCTCATCTGATGTCACTGCATATTGTTTTCAGAAGTTGATAGAGGCTGGTTACAAACTATTTAGCATTTTAAATATGTCAATAGAAAGGGCACGGGTAGGACATGGGGAATAATGACATTAACATCAAATAGGTGCTTAAAATATTTTTGCTTGAGAGGAGGGAGGGCTAAAGGAAAAGTTCAGGGAAAATGCAGCTGATGTAGACAAAATTGATTATTTGCTTGAGTTTGATTGCTGTAATGAGCTTCTGACCTTGTCTAGGACATGCAGAAAGTGCCAATACTGCAAGAGCACAGACACTGTTCTGATCCAGCAAATTATAACGTGGCATTTTACATCCCTTTGGGTTGCTTAAGTCACGTGAAATACCCATGGGGCCATCTCAGTGCTCTAGACAGAGGTTATACCACCACTACAAATATTGGATTTTATTGCTAGTAGGAAAAAAACAAGGAAAGTGCTGTCGTCCCCCCTCCCAAAAAAAAAAACAACAACCAAAGACAACACAATCAAAAGAAGACAAAACAACAAGAGAAAAAAAAGGGGGGGGAGATTCATAGAAATAGGAGTTAAAATTCTCTGAGGAATTTATCTGCTGTACAATAGCAGTAAAACTGCATAGAAATCCAGCTGCTTGCATCAATAAACACGAGTTTTCTTCTCAGAATTCATGCCAAGACGAAATTGGAGAAGCGCAAGAAGTGCAATACAAGCTTTTTGTGCATCTTAGAGCTACAAGTCACTGTCTGTAACTTCTGTAGCTAACCCCTTCCAACACTTGATTTCATTTTGATGGGCCCCAATCCCTTTTAAAATCAGAGTCCCATACAAACCAACTTAGAATCTGTTAAGACGAATGCAAACATGGCCATGGCAGTTCCCAGAACTAAGAAACCATCAGAGGCCTTTTCAATGCTGTATGCACGTTTGAATGGAGTACATATTATGTATCCATTATTATATGTGTAAAAAAAAGCTATATAGTATTGACTTTCTTTCTAGTAACATGCTGCTGATTGAAGCATGGTCATTATTACAAAAAGTGCACGAGCAAAATCGCCATTTGTGTAAGTTGCAGACAGATTAGACCTGTCTTGTTCATGGCTTTACAGCATTTCTATGTTGTCCTATTTCTTTCTGAGTTGTATTTGAAGGATTCTAGTGGGGCGGAGAGTCAAATTTTGTTTATTTCTTAGAGATGCCTTGACAGCTTATAAAGACATAAATATAGACCAGAAAAAAAAGAGAAATGACTGTACTAAAAAATGCAACCTTTGAATTAGCAAGGTGAGGAAGTATTGGAAGCATTGAAATAGTTTTAAAGTTTATTAGCAATAGACATTTAGATTGCAACAGGTCTTAAGTGCAGTGGAATTTTTTGGTAAAAGTTGGTTTTGGTCAACTTTTGGTGTTGGCCTGGAGAGGTGCAGTCTCCATAGCCTGTCTGCCTTCCCTAAGGAGCCCTGAGCAAACTAGGGCTTGGCTTCTTGGTGATGAGAATGCTGTGCTGTCTCTCAGCAGCAATGAGTCTCAAGTTTTATGTTTTTATAAAGCTGCCCTGTATGTTTTTAGGCAGGTGGAAGAAGGGTCTGAAATCTGTTGGTAGGTAATTGAGGGACTCAAGGCAGACGTGAGTCAGAGCTTGAAAGAGTAAGCTCCAATACCATATTACATGGTGACACTGTTGTGAAACAGGCTGGCAGAGATGTTTGAAGAATAGTCAACTTGTTCTCCAAGTCCTCCATCCGAAATTGCTTGGGGTACCCAAGTTTTCAGCCCCTCAGTTTGAAGAACAGTCAACTTGTTCTCCAAGTCCTCCATCCAAAATTGCTTGTTTTCAGCCCCTGAGTTTGGGTTGGGCCAATGCTGGCTGTCAGTTGAGAGGTCCTGTAGCAGGACTTCCTATGCCCCAAAGACCTGAGTAACCCACTGGGCTTCAGCTGAGCTCTTCTGCTCACTTGTTCAAGAAAGAAGCTGACTCCAAGCGTGGCATCAGCTCCCCAGTCAGCTGAAATAACGCAGACAGTGGTAAGCAGTGATTACACAGTAGTCACAGCTGAATCAACAAGACTCTTCCAATAAAGTGAGGGACGGGAAAGAACTTTACATGAAGCTCAAGAATGAGTTTTCATTATATCAAAGAAAATGTGGGCGATAAAATGGGCAGTCCCTGTGAGCTGACCATCAGTCAGGGAAGTGAATACATTCCAGGGAGGTAAATTGGGATTATCCCTCGTTAACTCTCTGATATCTCAATTGCCTGCCCATGGGCTTGGTTTCTGGCAGGACACCAAAGCAGTGCAGAGGCATCAGGGGACTAGAACTAGATTCTGCATCCACCCAAGTAACACAACTGCTGGCTTTGAGAGCCAAAGGTAACAAACTCAGTATCAGTGTGTGTGTACCAGCCAAGCCATTGTAACCGAATAAATGAGTATTATCGGCCTTGCTGGCATAGGAAATGTGCTGATGGTTGTGGGGTTTCTATTGTAAAGCCTAAGAGAGCAAGAGGAAGACAAGGCCCATAAAATTTGTAACTGTTTTGCTTCAAAGCCATGTGCAAATCCAAAATATTTCCCTTAAAATATACATATTTAGTGGTTCAATTCAGTTTTTTTCATTCACAGACAATATAGATACTAAAGGCTTCTGAAGAGGAAGGAGAAACTGAAGCACAAATTAGTTATATATTCTGAGCAAGTTTTGAACTAGATTTGAGTTAGTGCTGCTGGAGAATAATTTCTAGTTTTCCCTATGCTTGTCCTGAAACTGACATTTAGAGATTTAGATCTGTAAATCCAAAATACCTGAACTCTTTGTAGTGACCTGTAGCCCTTTATACAGCAGAATGATGCTTTCTACTGTATATATATGTTTGTTACCTGTTATTAGCTTTCCTGTCCTGTTTTTCTTCATATATTCTAAAGCGCTCATACGGCCAGGAGAATTTCCTGCAGGTATCAAGTTCACAGTCTTCAGTTGCCAAAAAAAAGTCCCCTGGTCTTTGTCGTGCTCCAGGCGTGTGTGACGGGAGTGTTGGAGCAAACATGATAGCTTTACACTTGCCGCTGTCTTTTGAGCAAACGTAAAAATAGCTTTCACCCTCGAGGGCAGACGTTGCAGGGTCCCAAGGTCCTGAAGTGCCACTCAATATCATGCAGACTGGAATGTCATTGAAAATGGGTTTATAGTGAAGAATAATGGCAAGGATGCAAAGTGACCACGGTACACAGCTCACTGTGGCAGAGAATTCAGGGAATTCTGTGATGCTGGATGCGTGTCCCTCCTCCCCTTTCCAGACTGGGACTCTCTGCCCTCGGGTTTGTGTCCTTTAATGCTTATTTTACCCATATCCAGTCAGACTCCAGAGCTATATCATGCAGTCGTGTGAGGCTGTCTCCTGCAAGCACCTTTCTGTTAATTATTTGGGTTTTTTTTTTCCCGTGGAAGCCAGAATCAAACACAAGTAAGAATTATTCTGATAAACTTCCAGGAAACATTCAGGGAAGAAAGAAAAAAAGCCGACCTATCTTCAGGAAACATTCAGGGAAGAAAGAAAAAAAGGCTGAGCTGTCTCCTTGCTGTCACACGGGCCGTAACCATGGACCTGCGGAAACAACTGGAGAATACCGAGAGGAACTGGAATAAAGAGAAGATGGAACTGCTGGAGAGATTTGACAACGAGAGGAAAGAATGGGAATGTCAATGGAAGGTCATGCAGAAGAAAATAGAAGAGGTAGTTTTAACCAAAACTCCGAACACTAACCTTTTCACTTGGGGTGAAGTGAATCGGGTCACTTCAACTTATTTTTTTTCTGAATTTTATCCTGTATCTTACCCATCCCCGGAAGTTTCTAATACCTGGTAGTAGGATGCAAAGTTAAGCAGTATTTGCAATTGCTTCTTTAATAGTCGTAAATAGGAAGTGGGAGGTGAAATATGGCTCTGTGTGAACTTTGCTGTGGTGTTGCTGGCTGTACGTGCTGCAGCTCTGCTGGGGGAGCCACACGGCTCCTGCCCTACACCCTGCTTCCAAGAACGTGCTGAACACAGGCATAGATGGGGCTTAGGAAAATGTGTGTCTAGTACAAAAAGCCTAGGCATCATAATTCTCTGGCAAAAAGGCACAAGAGGGCACAGGTCTGCTGGGGTGAACAGTAATATTAAGGACGTCGTACATTTATATGCTGCATTCTGGCCAGAACCTGCTCCATTTATGGACAGCTTTTAGTAGAGAAAACAGAGATAGTAAATAGCATGGAAGTCCTGACACCCCTTCTGTTTACACGTACTAACGAACACTCCCTCCCTGCCATTTCTAATGCATCTCCTTCCAGAAGGGTAGTTAGTTATGATTCCTCTATCCCCAAATTGCCCCTGCAGCAGAGCCCTCTGGCACTCTGTCATGCGCAAACTGAATCTGCCTTGGCAACACGTAGAAGCAAGTTTTTTTCACCACTGAGTTTTCCACATTTTTCATTCTAATGTACACAGGGAGTAGGTTTGCTCGCTGCCTGCCAACACCGTCCTGGGGCTGCGCAGCGCAGGAATGTAGGGCAGAGATTGCTCACATGGAAGAATGAGAAGGAAAATGATCAGAACAAATGAATTGCAGCCATCCTCTGCCCGTTAAACCCGCCTGCAGCTCTCTTACCTGCAGTCCTGGCAGACTTTGGTACGATAGTGTTTGCCACATTTTGTCTTTTGTGTTAGGACACTTCCGTGCAGTCCCCCCTAATTTCACCCCCAAGGTGAGAGTGCTTCAAAAGTCAGCAATTCCCCTTTGAAAAGGGGAATTTCAGTTTGTTGGGTATATGAGCTGGTTGGAAACGATGGTGATGTGTTGTGGAAAGGTATTCTGGCCATCAGCAGTCAGACAGCAAGGAACATGTTTTTCCTACGTTCTTTATTAACTTATGGATTAGGAAAATATGACAGAGACAGAAAAAGAGATGAAGAATGGAATGGGGCTGAGGGGAAGAGAACGAAGCAAATTTTGTAGAGCAGGACCAGACAAAACTGCAGGTGACACCCCAAGGTTATCGGTGTCCTAAGGTCCCCTCCTAAGCTGCATGTGTAGCTGCCCTTGGTTTCAGTTGCCTGACATTTCTTCACCAAGAGCCACAGAGCCAGAGAAAAGAGGAGATACATTTAAAATGCCATCATCTGCAGAGGAATTTCCTCGATAAAACTTGTGCCACCGTATCAGCTTGTATTTTTATTTGGCAGTTTTCTCTAGCCCACCAAACCCTAACTTAACTCCTGGATTCCTCCAGGAAGGCTTACATGGTTTAGGAGAGGATATTGTTGAGTTATGGGGTGGTATCCTTCCTTCTTTATGCTGAGTCCCAGTGAGGCCCTCATTTCTTGGAAATGACAAAAGTTCAGCCCCCAGGCTCCCTGTGCAGCTGGGTTTTGGGAGTGAAATCTGAAAGCCCAGAATAAGGCCAAGTGTCAAGGCTCTGAATGTGAAAATACTTCTGATCCACAGCACTACCCGTGAAAGGGCTGCATGTTCTTCACTTTGTTATTCTTTTTCACACTGTCCTTCCAAAAGCAGCTGTGCTGGCCCTGTGTGCTGCGAGAGAGCAGGCAGAGGCCTCTCCAGAGGGGCCTGCTCTGTCCTTTCTTCACAAGTTAAGAATGAAAGTTTATAAAGAGCCGTGGGATTCTTGGCCCTGGAAATGATAGTGTAAGCAGAAGAGGTTTTTATGATGTTGCTGTTTTTTCTAATTTATAATTTATCACAGTTCCCTAGTTTGAATGTGCTGGGTGACAGGAATTAACACCTTCTCATTTCCTAATGAAGCCACTGAATCTCAGCAGATAGCATGAAAGCAGATAAGAGGGTGACAGCACATTGCCAAATGATACCATTCTGCAGTCCTGATTTATCACTGCAGTCCCAGGGAAGAGTTCCACTTGCCTGAGAGCCAGAAGAGTCTGCTCTGGTGCCGATGGCTCTGTGAATCGGGTCACTTCAACTTATTTTTTTTCTGAATTTTATCCTGTATCTTACCCATCCCCGGAAGTTTCTAATACCTGGTAGTAGGATGCAAAGTTAAGCAGTATTTGCAATTGCTTCTTTAATAGTCGTAAATAGGAAGTGGGAGGTGAAATATGGCTCTGTGTGAACTTTGCTGTGGTGTTGCTGGCTGTACGTGCTGCAGCTCTGCTGGGGGAGCCACACGGCTCCTGCCCTACACCCTGCTTCCAAGAACGTGCTGAACACAGGCATAGATGGGGCTTAGGAAAATGTGTGTCTAGTACAAAAAGCCTAGGCATCATAATTCTCTGGCAAATAGGCACAAGAGGGCACAGGTCTGCTGGGGTGAACAGTAATATTAAGGACGTCGTACATTTATATGCTGCATTCTGGCCAGAACCTGCTCCATTTATGGACAGCTTTTAGTAGAGAAAACAGAGATAGTAAATAGCATGGAAGTCCTGACACCCCTTCTGTTTACACGTACTAACGAACACTCCCTCCCTGCCATTTCTAATGCATCTCCTTCCAGAAGGGTAGTTAGTTATGATTCTTCTATCCCCAAATTGCCCCTGCAGCAGAGCCCTCTGGCACTCTGTCATGCGCAAACTGAATCTGCCTTGGCAACACGTAGAAGCAAGTTTTTTTCACCACTGAGTTTTCCACATTTTTCATTCTAATGTACACAGGGAGTAGGTTTGCTCGCTGCCTGCCAACACCGTCCTGGGGCTGCGCAGCGCAGGAATGTAGGGCAGAGATTGCTCACATGGAAGAATGAGAAGGAAAATGATCAGAACAAATGAATTGCAGCCATCCTCTGCCCGTTAAACCCGCCTGCAGCTCTCTTACCTGCAGTCCTGGCAGACTTTGGTACGATAGTGTTTGCCACATTTTGTCTTTTGTGTTAGGACACTTCCGTGCAGTCCCCCCTAATTTCACCCCCAAGGCGAGAGTGCTTCAAAAGTCAGCAATTCCCCTTTGAAAAGGGGAATTTCAGTTTGTTGGGTATATGAGCTGGTTGGAAACGATGGTGATGTGTTGTGGAAAGGTATTCTGGCCATCAGCAGTCAGACAGCAAGGAACATGTTTTTCCTACGTTCTTTATTAACTTATGGATTAGGAAAATATGACAGAGACAGAAAAAGAGATGAAGAATGGAATGGGGCTGAGGGGAAGAGAACGAAGCAAATTGCTGGGTAGGGCAGGACCAGACAAAACTGCAAGTGACACCCCAAGGTTATCGGTGTCCTAAGGTCCCCTCCTAAGCTGCATGTGTAGCTGCCCTTGGTTTCAGTTGCCTGACATTTCTTCACCAAGAGCCACAGAGCCAGAGAAAAGAGGAGATACATTTAAAATGCCATCATCTGCAGAGGAATTTCCTCAATAAAACTTGTGCCACCGTATCAGCTTGTATTTTTATTTGGCAGTTTTCTCTAGCCCACCAAACCCTAACTTAACTCCTGGATTCCTCCAGGAAGGCTTACATGGTTTAGGAGAGGATATTGTTGAGTTATGGGGTGGTATCCTTCCTTCTTTATGCTGAGTCCCAGTGAGGCCCTCATTTCTTGGAAATGACAAAAGTTCAGCCCCCAGGCTCCCTGCGCAGCTGGGCTTTGGGAGTGAAATCTGAAAGCCCAGAATAAGGCCAAGTGTCAAGGCTCTGAATGTGAAAATACTTCTGATCCACAGCACTACCCGTGAAAGGGCTGCATGTTCTTCACTTTGTTATTCTTTTTCACACTGTCCTTCCAAAAGCAGCTGTGCTGGCCCTGTGTGCTGCGAGAGAGCAGGCAGAGGGCTCTCCAGAGGGGCCTGCTCTGTCCTTTCTTCACAAGTTAAGAATGAAAGTTTATAAAGAGCCGTGGGATTCTTGGCCCTGGAAATGATAGTGTAAGCAGAAGAGGTTTTTCTGATGTTGCTGTTTTTTCTAATTTATAATTTATCACAGTTCCCTAGTTTGAATGTGCTGGGTGACAGGAATTAACACCTTCTCATTTCCTAATGAAGCCACTGAATCTCAGCAGATAGCATGAAAGCAGATAAGAGGGTGACAGCACATTGCCAAACGATACCATTCTGCAGTCCTGATTTATCACTGCAGTCCCAGGGAAAAGTTCCACTTGCCTGAGACCCAGAAGAGTCTGCTCTGGTGCCGACGGCGCTGTATGGGATGAGAATTCACTTCCCCTCCTTACACTTTACACTTTGTTAATGTACTTTAACAGGCTGTAATTTAGGCAGAGCCCTCCCCCCTGCCTCACCTTCCCTCACGTTCCTCATCCATCAGATCAAGGCTGTGTCCACCACGTAGTGTGCTGATATCACTTGGAGGATGACCAGACAGTGTCTGGCCCAAGGCAGGGCCACTGACCTGGTGCCATCTCTTCCAGTCCCACCCTGTGGGTGGGAGCCATACATTAAAACCATGGCAAAGGGTCTGTAAATGGTAACAGCCCCTTCCTCATCCCGGGACAGTAACTTTCTGGGAACTATCACACTCTATGACTCAACACTTTTCTACTAACATATGTATAAAATATTTGTACTTGGTGCTATTGAGTGAAGCATTGTTCAAACCAGAAGATTAATATGTTCTTTTACCATAAATTATACCATAAAATCATACCACAGTACCGTGATTTAATAGAGAGTTTTATTGTTTTTGCAGCTTTACCAGGAGGTAAAACTGCGGAGGGAGAGCAATATGAATGTCCATGATAACAAGGCCATTCAGAGCAAGGTGCTGCAGCTCTCCATGCGTTCCCCTGCTTCGGGAGAGAGTGACACAGTGGAGCTGAACCATCGACACAATGTGGGAAACGACAGGATGGAAAACGTGAAGAAGGCAAGAGGAGGAAGAACAGCCATACTTTTGTACCAATGGAAAGATGGCAAGCCAGACCCCGGACAGTATGGCACATGAACATTCTGCCATCTGTTAAAAATGTAAGAGTCATGGTCTGCCATAGCAAGGTAAACAACAGTCTCCCTCTCGGGCTGTGCAGAGTCTCAGAAGATAAGACTGAACCCATGGTGGGACAGAGGCATACCACGAAAGAGACTGAGAAAGATGCTCCCCAAGAGCAGAGGGACTTCTTACATCCCCCCATGCAATCCCTTGGCTGTCTGTCGCTAATTTCTTCCTCTAGCTGGGTTAGTGTCTGTATCTTTAAAGCAAATAGATTCATAGCTGATGTGTAGTTTCTAAATCCCAGCTGAGAAAGGTGATTTTTTGAACAGATCTCAAAAGACACATTTCTACTGCCATGTGTAATGTTAGGAAACCTCCCCAGGGGAGGCACGATGTCCTAAAGCTTTCTTCGTTCATCTCGTAGTTGGGCAGACTCCCACTGGAGTCACTAGAACTCACAAGGTCCCACTGTCCTTACAGTAGGATAGGTAAGAAAACAAGCAATCATCGACAAAAACTCAGAAAAAGAATTTTTAGTGGCAAGGGAAAGGAATACAAGATTCCCTTTGTTGAGCTTTCTTCAAATTCTTCATGTGTGTTTCAGACACACTGATGTATCAGCTGCAGCAAAACCGCTCCCAAATCTTGTTAAGCAGCTGGTGTGAAAACTCCTGCTCACGGGGAGAATGAATCCATGCCGCGGTCCCCCGGGGGAATACCCTTATTGCTCACCCCTAAAACACCTCTCCTTTGATTTCCAGAATGAAGTCACTTCCTTTCCTGAGGGAATTTGAGGAAACGCAAAAGGCAGTTATCCTGCCTGAGATGAACCATGTGTCCAGCAACGACTCCCAGACTTCGGTTGCTTTTGAGACAGAGGAACGTAATAACAGGAAGAATCTGATGAGCTCCACCAAGGCTTTGAAGGACATTTCTTACGGTGGTCTTACTGGTGACAGAGGAACAGACTTCACACCTTGGCAAAGGAAAGAAGCTCCACCGGTTCCTCCCCGGAGCACTTCCCGGCACCTGACAAACTCCCTTTCTGCTGTGGCACAGCTTTGTGAAGCTCCACTACGAGACCCAGGCATCAGAAGCAATTGCAAGGCTCAGGAGTGTAAGATTGGAAGGAGACTGCTGAATCCTTCACCTATAAACCAGAAGGAAGCTGCAGCAGCCTGTGCAAAGGAAGGGCAGGCTGTGAGAGGCCCCGTGATGGTAACTGCTCCAACAGCGGTAACGAAAAGTGAGTGCAACGTACCGACAAGCTTCTGCCACAACAAGGGAAAGGAATACAAGATTCCCTTTGTTGAGCTTTCTTCAAATTCTTCATGTGTGTTTCAGACACACTGATGTATCAGCTGCAGCAAAACCGCTCCCAAATCTTGTTAAGCAGCTGGTGTGAAAACTCCTGCTCACGGGGAGAATGAATCCATGCCGCGGTCCCCCGGGGGAATACCCTTATTGCTCACCCCTAAAACACCTCTCCTTTGATTTCCAGAATGAAGTCACTTCCTTTCCTGAGGGAATTTGAGGAAACGCAAAAGGCAGTTATCCTGCCTGAGATGAACCATGTGTCCAGCAACGACTCCCAGACTTCGGTTGCTTTTGAGACAGAGGAACGTAATAACAGGAAGAATCTGATGAGCTCCACCAAGGCTTTGAAGGACATTTCTTACGGTGGTCTTACTGGTGACAGAGGAACAGACTTCACACCTTGGCAAAGGAAAGAAGCTCCACCGGTTCCTCCCCGGAGCACTTCCCGGCACCTGACAAACTCCCTTTCTGCTGTGGCACAGCTTTGTGAAGCTCCACTACGAGACCCAGGCATCAGAAGCAATTGCAAGGCTCAGGAGTGTAAGATTGGAAGGAGACTGCTGAAGGACAATCTGGGCTTTGAGAACCAACAGGAACCTGAAGACAGCCTCAGCATCAACACTTCCAAGAAAAATGCCAAGAATTATATTGGTGATCTCAACATAGTAAGTAAAGTATGAGCATGTTTCAGTTACAAGTGTGAGGAAAATCCTGAGGGGTTTGGCCTGCCAGGTTAACCTAAAGAACTGATCCACCTGATTTTAGCTCTCCAGCAAGGCACTGGCTCTACTTCCTCCTGGGTTTGCTATCAATGAGTGTCTTCTCCCTGTTTAAATGTGCTAACAGTGTGCTCTTTAACTCCATTCATAAACTGGGGGCATTTCTGTGTCTCTCCTTGTGCTGCCCTTTTCTGCCATCAGTCTTAAATGCAAATTGCTACAAGTTTCAAAATAATTCTGGAGGTACCATGTGAAAGGCTTATATTAAAAGACTGTTTTTTATATTTATAAAGGCTCTTAAAGAACTTGCCAGAGTCAGTGAAGAATTATGCAGCTATCAAGAGGAAATTAGAAAGAAATCCAACCACAGAAGGTAAGAACATATTTGTAGTCTTTATATTAATTAAAGTGATGGACGAGACTGTGCTCCTGTTTGCTCTGAAGTGGGGTTTGCTGTTGAATTTATTAGGAGTGGGGCAGTTCCTGTCCTCCTGATGCTCCAGTGCTCAGCATAAAACATTCAAATGAAATACACTGATATGTGATATGTTATATATGATATATATAACATATATATATGTTATACATGATACAAGGCCACGTGTTACCAGCAAAACAGAGTTTAGCTATAGAACCCACAAAATGAAAGTAGCATTTATGTGAGATGAAATTGTACTTGTTGCTAATGGCTATACAGAGGACTGGGAGAGTGAACAGGTATTTCGGTCTGCCCTGGTCCCATTGCCCTGCAGTTCTGTACAAGGCTGGGTGGGTTTGTTAGGCTGGATGTTTCTTATGTTAAGCCCAGATCTCACCTTACGTGTGGGGGATGCATCAGGGACTGACAGCTCAGGAGTGTGAAGAAGGCAAGAGGAGGAAGAACAGCCATACTTTTGTACCAATGGAAAGATGGCAAGCCAGACCCCGGACAGTATGGCACATGAACATTCTGCCATCTGTTAAAAATGTAAGAGTCATGGTCTGCCATAGCAAGGTAAACAACAGTCTCCCTCTCGGGCTGTGCAGAGTCTCAGAAGATAAGACTGAACCCATGGTGGGACAGAGGCATACCACGAAAGAGACTGAGAAAGATGCTCCCCAAGAGCAGAGGGACTTCTTACATCCCCCCATGCAATCCCTTGGCTGTCTGTCACTAATTTATTACTCTAGCTGGGTTAGTGTCTGTATCTTTAAAGCAAATAGACTCATAGCTGATGTGTAGTTTCTAAATCCCAGCTGAGAAAGGTGATTTTTTGAACAGATCTCAAAAGACACATTTCTGCTGTCATGTGTAATGTTAGGAAACCTACCCAGGGGAGGCACTATGTCCTAAAGCTTTCTTCCTTCATCTCGTAGTCGGGTAGACTCCCACTGGAGTCATTAGAACTCACGAGGTCCCACTGTCCTTACGGTAGGATAGGTAAGAAAACAAGCAATCATCTACAAAAACTCAGAAAAAGAATTTTTAGTGGCAGGGGAAAGGAATACAAGATTCCCTTTGTTGAGCTTTCTTCAAATTCTTCATGTGTGTTTCAGACACACTGATGTATCAGCTGCAGCAAAACCGCTCCCAAATCTTGTTAAGCAGCTGGTGTGAAAACTCCTGCTCACGGGGAGAATGAATCCATGCCGCGGTCCCCCGGGGGAATACCCTTATTGCTCACCCCTAAAACACCTCTCCTTTGATTTCCAGAATGAAGTCACTTCCTTTCCTGAGGGAATTTGAGGAAACGCAAAAGGCAGTTATCCTGCCTGAGATGAACCATGTGTCCAGCAACGACTCCCAGACTTCGGTTGCTTTTGAGACAGAGGAACGTAATAACAGGAAGAATCTGATGAGCTCCACCAAGGCTTTGAAGGACATTTCTTACGGTGGTCTTACTGGTGACAGAGGAACAGACTTCACACCTTGGCAAAGGAAAGAAGCTCCACCGGTTCCTCCCCGGAGCACTTCCCGGCACCTGACAAACTCCCTTTCTGCTGTGGCACAGCTTTGTGAAGCTCCACTACGAGACCCAGGCATCAGAAGCAATTGCAAGGCTCAGGAGTGTAAGATTGGAAGGAGACTGCTGAATCCTTCACCTATAAACCAGAAGGAAGCTGCAGCAGCCTGTGCAAAGGAAGGGCAGGCTGTGAGAGGCCCCGTGATGGTAACTGCTCCAACAGCGGTAACGAAAAGTGAGTGCAACGTACCGACAAGCTTCTGCCACAACACATGGGCGTATGATGTGGGCAAACTTGGAAAAGACAATCAAAGTGGACCTTCCCCGCTGTCAGCCCAAAAGAGCTGTTCGGATGGAAATATGGCCCAAAGCAACAAGATGCACCAGAAACACAATCCCACGTCTCACAGCGGCCCTTATTACAGTAACGAGTTTTATGGCCCCGCCGCCCCGCACAGCGATCGTGTGGAAGGCTCTGGCTATTCTTTAGGAAAAACCCAAAGAAATGAGACTTTAGCAGCAAAGATCGATGAGTTCAACCGGACTGTATTTCACACAGATAAACGTAACAACCCTTTGCAGGAAAGCCAGGTGCCTGGAACAGCATGGGAAGGTGGGAAGCCCTGCGGCCCACGGTGTGACCCTGCTGCTGGCGGGACAGACACTGTCAATACAACTTGCCTCTCAAACCCCAAATTCCCTGCAGGGAAGGAGAAAGAAAGCAGCAATCCCAGTAAAGCTGCCGGGCAACAAAAGCAAATAAATGGACTTCCAAATACGAGTGGCTACAGGCACATGCTTCACGAGCACGACTGGAGACCCAGCAATTTGTCTGGTCGCCCGCGTTCAGCCGACTCGAGGTCGAACTACGGCGTGGTTGAAAAGCTTTTGAAAAACTATGAGAAATCCACAGTGACTTCTCCCTGTAATGCAAAATGCTGCAAGGATAAGTGGACACGGGCAAATTGTGAGTTCACCGACGGGGGTTGTGAGACGTGGAGTCACTATTTAGAAACGCTCCAGATTGAGCAAGGAAAGCAAGAATTTCCGAGGAATTCAGCCAGGCATATTGGGCAGCAACTCAAGCAAGGAAAAGAGAGACAGAAGTTACCAGAGGTAAGGTTCATAAGAACGGCAAGAACAAAATAATGCCGTTTCATACCAAGCTTCAGATTCTAAAATGAGGCAGGCTAACATGAGATTGTAAATAATTATGTAAAAATAGACACTTTGGGCAAGGATCTGGATGAATCGAGAGTGTTTCCTCTCAAGATAATGGAGGAGGGATAGTAAGGAGGAGAATAAGATAATAGGGGAGGGAGGAAGCATGTAAGTAAGAGTGAAGATGTATGCCAGATCTTAAGATAATGGAGGAGGGATAGTAAGGAGGAGAAGAAGATAATAGGGGAGGAAAGAAGCATGTAAGAGTGAAGATGTGTGCCAGATTTTACCCTCTGCTGCTGCTGTGGAAAGCTAGATTTTAACTGCAGTGCAGTTAGTCAAGGATTGAACTAGATAGAGCTGCAATCAGCTTTTAACTCCCTCCCTTCTTCCTTTAGCTGAGGAGTTATTTCATAAGCCTTCCCAAACAGCTTAAGCACACTTGGACACATCAACACCCTGGAGGGCTCAGATAGCATTCCTCAGCATCAAGGGTGCTGCTTGGTCCAGGACTGCCTTGGAACTGCCTGTGAAAAGGGGTATTGTAGCTCCATAAAGCTTCCAGTAATAAAGCAAACTCCTCTCAGTTCCAGGCTTCTCCTGTATATACATAAGCATAAGCTCACAGCAACAGAAGAGTATGGCATGACTAATTAATTTATATTTGGCTGAATTTTATTTGCAGAGGTTTGGAAATATTGCTTTTGCCAACATTCTTAATGAAAAGAGAAACGCATGGTTTTGAAAATGCACTGTAAGTTGCAGGTTCTGTAAAAGGCCACAGAGAAAGAAAAGTAATTTTTCCTGAGGAGCTCCTTGGCCAACGAACACAAAGAGCAATGCCCCTTAGTGCCTCAGAAAAGAGAAGGCAAATGTGTTTGGAGCTGAGAAACCTCAGTGGGTTCAGACTGTCAGCTGCTGTGCTTTAAGCTGTCACAAATCCACAGACCAGTGGAGCTATGTGGACTTAAACAGCTGAGAATCTCACCATGCAGATTTCCTTCTGCGTGCCTTTCTGCCAGCCTTGCAGTGATGCAGCATCTTGCTCAGCAGACATGTCTTTCCTGCAGGAAAAAAAAAAAAAAAAAAAATTAACCTTCTGATTTCTTTTCCATCCAGTGAACTTTTGGTAGGAAAACAAATTTTCATCCGTGAATATGTAGGGAAGAAATAATGACCAGATAATGACTGGGTTTACATCGATGTAAGCCCAGGAAAACTTTACTAAGCCAATTGGATTTTTTTTTTCTCTTTAGGCTCACACTTTTTGTTGTCATTTCTATCTGTACAACCCAAGTGCAGAGTGCTGCCTGATTGGGGGGTACCAGTTTAGGTCCAAGCAGCATTCATGTCACAAAGACATCAAGAACTACACAAGGCATGAGGCATGATGGCATGAGATTTATTTTCATTATTTCAAATTTACATCTCTGTAGCCACGTTCAAAGCCTGTTGGTTTCCCTGTGTATGCAAGGCTCTGCACCTGGACGTGTCGCTGCATTAACCCATAACCACGAGTGTGAAGAGCTCCACGTGGCGCTCGTGGGAAGAGAGTTCTGAGCAAGATGCGGCTGCTGCCATAGGATCTGTGGAAAAACACCTGAGAAGGGTAGAGATCACACTGCAGGAACGGAGGATGGTGTCCCCAGCCCCACCTTCACAACAGTATAGCGTGTTCCTTGACACAAAAGGCCTTCTAAAAATGAAATGAGAAGTGAGTGTCAGTTCTGGCCAGCGTTAGCCTTTTATACCTTTCCTAGTGCCTGATGCCTGTCTCCGTGTATTTTAAACTCCAGCCTTCGGGAGAGCCCCCGTAGACAGAAATAGCTCTTCTTTTGCATTCTGTGCGTGGCTGAGCCCCTTTGAATAGCTGGGGAGCGCCTGCTGGGAGCTGGGCCCCAACGCCTGCTCCCTTCCCAACCCGTTCCACAAAAGCCACCACTGCCTAAAGCGAGGAATTGCCTTTGTGTTCTAGATATCCCTGCCAGCCAAAGGTTCCAGCGGGAAGGGTTTCTCCCGGCCGGCTCGGCCAGCGAACCGCCGTTTGCCGTCCCGGTGGGCCTCCAGGTCCCCCTCGGCACCGCCGGCGGTGAGGAGGACGGCGTACGACTGCTCCGGCTCCTTTCGCTCCGAGCCCTCGGGGGTCTGAACCCAGGGCTTGGGCTGGATGGACGGCGGCGTGAAAGCTCTTCTTTCTTTCTCATGATAACTGTGTCCGGGATGGATGGGTCAGAGCAACCAGGTCTTCTCCAAGAGGGACCCCCCCACCGCACACCGGACCTTGAATCTTAGGTCATCATCACCACGGTCTTCAGTGTTTTTATTGAGATGAAGTAACTACACCCCTGGTTTTCTCCGTTGGTTATTTTATTTGTTTGTTTGTTTGATAATAGCTCACCAGGAATTCCTTTTGAATGACATCTTCCTTAATTCGCCAACCAGTTTTGAGTTGAACCAATGTATAGTGCTGTATATTCTGACTCTTCTGCAAAGAGCAGAAGGTAAAAAGCTGTGTGCATGGTCCTGTGTCCGTAGGTGCATGTGTTGGGCTAGGAAGTATACAGGTCTGTATTTAGAAGAGACAAACTGTGCTAGTGTTGACATTGAAATTACAACCTATACGCCAACATAAATATATATACTTTGTGTTTATTTTAAAAAGTTTGAAATATACGGTCCTGATGACATTTATATTTTGTATATCTTTTACATAGGCTCACAGGTGTAGTATTTAATGTACAAAACTAAATATGCATTTTTTGTGACAGATCGCAGCGATAATGCCTTGCACAACGTGTATCTGAAGCAGACGAGCTCGACTGAGGCGTCAGTCATGCTTCACGGCACCCGCCTTCGGTTTCCTAACCCTTCCCATGCTAGGGCAAAATACCCAAACGTATTTTTTCTGAATTAAAATATTATATGATTTGTAATACATTAGCCTTTTTCAGCACCAGAGACATTCCTGAAATGTTCCAATCCCTTGAAAAAGCTTAAATGTGCCATTATATATATATAGCATACTGTAAACACTTCGGTAGTTGCAACTACTGTAACGTACCGTTTATGAAGGGAAAAAAAAAGGGTTGTATATGCTCAATTCTGTAAAACTTATTTTTCCTTCTAGCATTATACTTTGAGCTTTGGCGAGGTCCGCTAGCGAGGGACTTGTTTGCTTTTGCTCCAGGCAGGAGCACAAGGACCACTGGTGTCCCCTGTGCTGCAGCCACGCTCCTTTTTTACTCTTCTCCTAGACCAGGGGCCTGAGCCCCTCGCTCATTTACTGCTCCCGGGCTGACTCCTGGCCGTCGGTGACGACGTTTTCTTGCACTCTGGCAACAAGCTGCACCTCCTACAGAAATATCTCGTTGAGGTATCACCACAGCGGTGCCCAAAATCCCACGCACCTGGTGTTGGAAGTGTGTTTTTGCCATCACTCAGCTCAGTGGTATGGGCCATACCAGTTCCGTCCCACAGCGTGGAGGAAGCATGGATGCTACCCAAGTGTGTTTTTGCCATCACTCAGCTCAGTGGTGTGGGCCATCTCAATGACGTTCCATCCCACAGCGTGGAGGAAGCACGGATGCTTCCCAGCCTCTGGCTGAACTCTCAGAAAGACAGTGTCCTTCATCCTGGAATTGTCACACCTTTCTCTAGGCTGTTGCTGGAGGCGTAGCGCGGTGATGATGGCAAACGCGACCTTCAAACAGCGGGTCTGGGTTAAAAGGAGTAAGTTCTTCAACATCAGCCTGATCTTGTCTCGCAACTTTTTTTTCTTCTCCTGGAGAAACGTAGCACCTTCAAAGGAATTTTAAAAATCATCCCGTGATCCATTACCATGCACATCTTCTTATGTGAATGTAAAAAAGGGTTTCAGAGAGAGTGTAGGCTTTTGTCCTAGTGAATTGTACATGTGGCAATATAGGGAAAATTAGTTGTGCTTAATTTGGTAGTGATCTATTGTCCTACTCCAGTCACGTTGAGAATCTACACCTTTTTCCTTCCTTTTAGAGCCTTATTCTTCTTTCCTCTGCACAACTTCAGTTTTGCAGAGGGAGAAAGCAGGAGGCCGTGTGTTCTGAGCAATGTAGCCTGTATGGCAGCAGCAGTAACTCTTCAGGCACCCCAGTACTGGAGAAGCAGGCATTAAAGCCATAAATCCCACCCTACCACGCCGTGGTGGCTGCCTGCCCCGCAAAAACACGCTCAGAGTAATTTGCCCAATCTAGACTCCTGGTCCTTTCCAGGTGTGAGTGGTGGAAAAATCCCACAACAACATACGAAGGCTTCAAACAGATCAACAGTTCATCAAAATTTACTCAGACATTATGGCAAAGTTATTTCTGGAAAAGATACAAGGACAGAAAATCTTGAAGAAAGTTTATACGGTTTGGATAGAGATAAAAAATCTGTGTGCTTGGGTCAAAAATCAAGGATACTATAAATTTGCCTGTTTGTCCTAATTTAGAGATTGCACTCCATTAACTTCCTTAGAACTAGAAAAATTAGAGATGATTCATAGAGAATTTGGAACACGGCTTAAGACTCAAGCTAACAGTGGAAATTAGCAAACCAAAATGCCTTGCAAATTGACCTTTTCAATGCCTATGTAGCTGAGCAGCTTTAAATGCCTAAGGCTGAGGAAAGGGTAATATGAGAGAATTGTGAAAAAATGGTTCTTAATTTCAGTCAGTGTTGACTGCAGTAAAACTTCTTTAAATTACCTTCACGGTAAAGTTAAGCAGTTTTATTCTGCAAAATGGTGGTGCACTTCTGTTTGAGATCTGTGACTATGAAAGTGTTTCCCTTGATTCGTCAGTGAAGGAGTTTCTTTAGTTCCCTTCATTTTCTTTGATTGCCTTTGACATAAATCACATTGTTGAATACCAGAGAAAGGATCAAATACTTACAACATTCCCTGATGTATGTAAGTTTAATGAACAGAAGGTTTTTGAAATAAACTAACAAGGTCAAGGACAAGTCCATTTTGTCAAGATTTTCTGTGTCCATCTAATTAAAGACATTGGTTCTGAGGCCCAAAAGCATCAGAACTGGGGATTTTGGGCTGCAGGTGGCTAGTTGGACATACCAGTTTTAGAAAATTGCCTCTGACACTGTTTAAATATTCCCTTCAGAATATGATGGGTTGACATAGTGCTTAGAGACATGGTTTAGTGATGGGTTTTTCTATCAGTTAGGTTGATGGTTGGACTAGATGATCTTAAAGGTCCCTTCCACCATGGACAATTCTATGATTCACTTCTGACAGGCCAGTGCACTCCGGTGAAATTGGTAGTTCCCCAGGCTGTGATTACTGAACCCAGAAATGGCTTTATTGCACTGATTTGCTACAGGGAGGGAGAGCTCCATGGGACTTCCAGGTTTCTCCCGTTACCTCTGACGAGGAAATCCCTTACCTTGGGAGGAGGGAGAGCTCCATGGGACTTCCAGGTTTCCTCCCTGTTACCTCTGACAAGGAAATCCCTTACCTTGGGACCTCTGGAGCAAGAGACTCTCTGTGCACACACACACACACTCATGCAGGAACCACAAAGGATCTGAGTATAATGTGACCTTTCTACTAACCCCAGTGTCTCCTGTGGAAGGGGTGAGCTTTGCAAACCTCTTTTTACAATAGGTTTTTAATATTATTCCTCCAGATGCTGTCTAAAGTCTTAAATCAGCTATAGGTTCTTCTTAACTTGTGCTCTGAATGAGTGTAAGACTCTCTTTATTGCATGTTTATGGGCTTTAGTGTTGAAATAAATGCAGAAGGAGTTTTGAGACTCCCTGCACACCGAGAGTTCGCTGCCTGAGATGGGGATGTCCCTAGGAATCAGCTGACAGAGGAAACTGGTACTCGGTGGACAGAAAGCACCATTGTCCCTCACACTGGGAGATGGAGCCATACCCTCTGCCTGAGACCCTTTCAGGGAGCAGTGTGGCAGGGCAGGAACACAGAGAAGAGTCAGTTAGACCTTATCTACATGGGCAATGGAGCAGGCAACGTCCACCTGACGGCTGGAAACCTGGGCTGGCTCAGAGGCAGAAGGACTAGAGGGAAAAAAAGTCCTTTAAAACTTCTGGATATCATTCCTGTAACTCAGAGTATATTTCCAGTAGATGTTTTATCTTTCCAGTGTTAGTGCTGCACTTCTTATGTATCTTTAAACTGTTGCTGAAGGGATGAACTTTGCTTGTTCTCCATCCAGCCACAATAGCTGTTTGCTCCTGCCCCTGCTGTAAGGAGTTAGCTGTCCTATACAGCACAGGACTGGCAATCACTGTAGCCTAATTTTCCAGAGCTTTCAGAGCACTAATTTATTTCTCCAGTTGTCTATTTAAAAAATTGTTTCTGCAAATAGGGATTCTGCATCCAAATGGCTTCCACAGCATTTTAGCAAAGATCTACAGCACCCCAGCAGGCAGGCCCTTTCCCTCAGACTGCTGTTATTTTTGGACCGAGCCTAGATTTCCTCGCACGCAAGAACTTATGCAATTCTCACAGTGCTGCTATGCGAAGAATTTCTTCTGGCTTGGAGACCTGTGATGTACAGCTCGAGCCGTTCTCCTGCTGGTGCTCCCTGGTGGACTGAGCCGTGGTGCTGGCTTTGGTTGTGCAGGTGCTCCTTGAACTGGAAGGCAGAACGTGTTTCCTCCAAAATGCACTGATTCAAAACCCCGTGTTGCCTCTGGCCTTTCCACTCCTCTGCTCCCAGTGGATGTATATTTCTTTGGGGTTTATCGCCATTGTTCTATATGTATATGCCATATCAGAGGGCTTTCTATTTGTACCACAGCCAAAATATTTTTTGGGCAGCTTGTTCTACAAAGCTCTGCTCCTACCATTGCCATTCACAGGTGTACCGGATCTTGATCGCTTGTTTTGCATCGCTGAAATTGTACTTTCTTCGTGGACTGTTGGTGGCACACATTGTACAGAACTTGTAGTTTTTGAAATGCTGATCAATCTGCTTTTGGGGTTTGCTTCTGCCTCTCTCCCTCGCACCTTGAGGACTTTGGAAAGCCCTTGCCTGGTCGGGGAGGTGTTTCTGCTGCGTGTTGCTGTGTGGCTACGGGAGCTCCTACCACAGGGTGCCTGGCTGTCCCTGTTACCCTGAAAGGGACTGTGTCTGGATTCCCATGGGGTGAGAGAGATCAAACCCTCCACAGGATCAAAGGGAAACTGCGCACACAAAAAGCAGAAAGAAAACAGAAGGCTCAAAGAGGAGGGTGCAAACTTGTGGTAAATGTTGTGGTTAATTATTTGCTTCTAATGGGAGACCCCTCTGTGCTGCCCGCTTCATCCCACCCCGAACTTCAGTAATGCACTGACTTTTGGCAATCAGCAGTTTGTATGTACGCTTTTCCTGCACTGACTTTTGGCAATCAGCAATTTGTACGTAGGCTTTTCCTGCTCTGTGAGCCCGAAGCAGCACGAGGTACTGAAAGGCTGGTGTTGGTAATGGCAGATTAATGCCAGCCCTTCCCCTTCCTTCCCGTGTTTGATGCTATGGTGGACACTGAAGAATGCTCAGGTTCCATTTGTTAATCCTCCCCGTGGCAGCAGTTGGTTTTATCAGCAGGCCCATGGTGGTTCTCACAGCGTGAACACTCTGGAATGCACAACATATTGTCTCTTCCACCCACGCTGGACTCCCCGTGCTGCACGAGGGCACACTCTGTCACACTGCTGAAACGGGGACATTTCTGGAAAATAAACGTGAACCAACCTTGTTCTTGGGTTCATCAAGAGCCAGGCTCTACCTCAGCTCCACCGGTTGTGCCAAGCGACGTGACTGCACTTACAAGCAACATAAGTCCTCAGTCCAGGATGCTTTTCACCTCCCTGGGACACAAATACAGCCCTATGGCCTTTTCTGGAGGGATGGATGTTTTTTACCACACTGGGACAAAATGACAGTCTTATGCTGTGTGGCAGAGGGATGCCCTGCTCTGGGGACAGCCGGGGAGCAGAGGAGAAGCAGAACCTGTCCTAGGATGAGGCATCTCCTGAAGCTGGATCGGATCCATATCATGTAGTGGCAAATCCCATACTGCTTTTGAGGGGAAAAAAAAGTGAGTGCAAGATACCAATTAGTGTTTATACATATACTTTTCCTTGTACTTATCCAGGGGCTGCCGGTTTATGCTTTTTTTCCCAGTAACCCCAGCCTACAGTGTTTCCATTTAAGGGTCCAGAGTTTGATTCCTTCTAGTGGGGGGGGTGGGGGGGTGTGTATGGCCAAGATTCACTGAAAAAATGCTACTGCAGGGGAAATTCCGTACTTCTGACACTTTTAAATCAGATTATCTGATGTGTGAGCCCAAAATATACTGCTCTGTTGCATGACGTAGTGTTTCTTTTTGCGACAGAGGAGATGTGATCCCAGTGTAACCTGGGGGGCAGAGAGCAGGCATGGGGGAGCTACAATCCTTTGGCCAGTCACCCCAGGAAAGCCAGGTGTTCTTTAGTATTCGGTCTCAGTGGATGCACAGACTTTTGCTGACCTGCTGTTGTGTCACAGGGAACTTGGTGCCTCCAATGGGAGGTATGATACTGCCCGTGGCCCTCAGATCTCCCTAAAGCCATTGACTGCAGCTGGAAGAACTTCTAGCATCACCAAATCATATTCACTGTAGGAAAGGACTTTCATTAAAGAAAATTGCACTCATATGTGAACTCTATATGTTCATATATGAAAACATGACACCACCAGCTGGCATGGTGACACAGAAAATGGTGCTGAGTTTTACTTCTATATCACTTCTGTATCATTTCTATAACTGTAACAGGCCAGATGATATTCTGATGTAGAGCTGCTTAAGAAGTTGTTGATCAAAGTGCCCCACAGGTACGTGTATCTACAGTCTGCTTGTTTCTTGGCAAAACCCTTCTAGTTTCCACAAAGATATTCTGATTGTCTGGGGAGTTTGGGATTTTTATTAATTTTTTTTTTTTTTTCAAAATCACTGAAAGGCAGTTGGGCTTCCCCAGCTACCCAAGCTGGGTAGGAGCTACACAGGGAGTTCTTCCGAAACCAGAATGTCTGCTCAGAGAAATAACTGGCTACCAAAGGGGGCAAGAGGTTTGCAAGCTGGCTTGTCCTCTGTCACATCTCTGTAAATATATATATGTATATCTGACAGATCTTAGCATCTCTCCCTCCAGGAAGTCCCACAGCATCCCAGGCAGCTTTTTTTTTTGCTGTAAGACACCATTTTCTGCATATACAAGTACCACAGTCACACCTGTAGTACATACAGATAAATGATATCTAATATTGTATGCAAACAGGCTCCTCCCAAAGAATGGTATTGAAATGCTTTACTTTTAAACCAGCACATGACTTAAAGGGATCCAGCAGTTTTTGAGAGCCCATTTTCAGTAGGTAAATGCAATCAAATCTTTTAATGACAAAAGCGTGCTTATGCATGTCACCTTGTGCTTCCCAATGTTGTAAGCCCACCTTACAGCCCTGAGCCTGGGTTTGCCTCTTGTTCTGCAGAGAAAAAACAAAAAAAAAAAAAAGAAAGTGGAAATAGTAAAAAAACCACCCAAGAAGAGAAATGGGCCTGGTGAAAAGAGCTGCCTGGGAGCTTCTCCCAGCTCCTCTTCTGCAGCCTCCAGACCTTCAGGACACACAACGTTTCCAGCCCAGAAGCCAGAGAAAAGATGCCTTTTGTAGTCTTTCTGCAACAAGCACTAAAGCAGCCAGTTTGGGGATGAATAGTTTTGTGGGTTTGTTGTTTTTTTAGCTTTTGTAGCACAGAGGAAGCTTTTGCCTCTTCTGTGCGGGAGCCCGGCTCCCCCTCAACCACCTCTTGGATGGGTTTCTGCAATTTTAATTCATTTTACAGCAAATTTTCACAGCAGTCTGGACAGAAAGCAAATAATTCCCCATTCTCTTACTGGAAGGTAGCCAAGAGCTGAACTAGATGTACAAAGGGCCAAGAAGAATTTAAAAATTGTTTAAAAA